TCCTGTTGGATCCATGCCTCGTAAGCAGGATTGTTAGCAGTGGTGGTTGCCGTCGTGGTGGAGTCGCCAGTTTAGGAGGCAATAGCGACGGTGGCCGGAGGACAAGGTGTCTTCCCGTCGATGTAGCCCAGCAGGCCTTGACCACGGAGGAACGACACCAGTTGAGTGCGCCAGAACAGGTAATTCCTCATCGTCAGCTTCGTAGAGACGAAGTGATGCGCCGCCGTGAGGGAGTTGGTGGTCGCCGGAGTGGCCACGGAGGTGGTGGTGGTGATTGTGCGTTCAGAGGAATTTGTCGACATCTGATTTTGCGGGAAAAGATTAAACAAAGGATCTAACCTATCGCAACTGATACCAGATGAGATTACGATATTCAGAACTGAATGAATTACAGAGAGAGCGAATGAGAGTCCTATACAATATCCTCCTATTCTATAGGCTATAGCTAGTTTGACTAAATCTCTACCACTATTACAAACTATATAATATTGTGGAAATATTAGAATTGATATGTGAAAATATTTGATTGATATGCATATATTCTTAGGATCTGTAATTAGTGATATGATTTTATTCTTTCCTAGTTTAGTGATCCTTTTTATTTACTTTCCCTGATTATAGGATTCTGTTCCCTATAATCAATCTTCTTCTTTGTATAAATTAGGGCTTGTATTTTCCAATTGTAAAGGAGAACTATTCAGAATTTCTTACATGGTATCAGAGCCTGACTCTAAACCCCTAGCTCTTCTCTATCCTCCCTCACCAAATCTCTCCAGCAACTATGTCTAAACCTATTGAAACCCTTCCAGTTGATTCCTCACCGTTAGATGTGTCATCACATCCTTCTCACTTGACTATCACAAATCATCCTAACCTTCCTCAAGTCCTTGCTTACTGTGAATTTTCCAGCAAGTCTTAGGATAATGTGGTTGCAACCTCTGAAACATCACCCATTGAAGTCAATCCTTTCTCGAAAATTAAGCTTGAGGCACTGCAAAAGCTTTTTGGGCAGATATCTGTTGCACAACAGTCAATCCCACCTTCCGCTGAAGCACATGTTAGTATGATGAGTCATCAAGGTACCACTTCTCACGCATTTGCTGCAAATTCAAATAACAGAAGTCCTTGGATTGTGGATTCCGGGGCATCCGACCATATGTCAGGTGATTTAAAGGTTTTTCATACATTCAAACCTTGTACTAATCCCACCACGATCAGAATTGCTGATGGATCCCTCTCTAACGTGATAGGAACAGGATCTGTCAAATTAACTGATGAACTTTTTCTTTCATTTGTTCTCTTTGTTCCTAAATTAAGTTGCAACCTTCTTTCCATCAGTAAACTCACTAGAGACTTGAATTGTGTAACTAAATTCTATCCTAAGCTTTGTGAATTTCAGGTTGTGGGTTCGGAGAAGGTGATTGGCAGTGCTAAAATTTGCGATGGTCTCTATATTCTCAAAAACACTCCTGAAAATAAACATTTCCCCAAGTCAAATTATTGTTTCAATTCTGTTTCTGTCTCCAATGAGAGTATAGTCATGTTGTGGCATTTTCGCTTGGACATCCAAATTTTGTTTATCTTGAAAAACTGTTTCCTGGTTTATTTATCAATAAAAAACCCAAGTTTTTTCATTGCGAAGTGTGTCAACTTGCAAAACATACTCGAAGCATTTATTCAAGCAATCCTTACAAACCTTCTCAACCTTTTTCGTTGATACATAGTGACATTTGGGGGCCTTCAAGGGTGAAAAATGTTAATGGTTCTAGATGGTTTGTATCCTTCATTGATGACCACACTAGGACCACATGGACTTTCCTCATGAAAGAAAAATCAGAAACTGCATCAATTTTTAAAGCTTTTCATTCCATGATTCAAAATTAGTTCAAACAAAAAGTCAAAGTTTTGAAAACTGATAATGGGACAGAATACTACAACTCAATTCTTGGTCCATACTTGTTAGATCAGGGAATTGTCCATATTAGTTCCTGTGTCAACACCCCTCAGCAAAATGGAGTGGCTGAAAGAAAAAATAGGCATCTCCTTGAAGTCTCTCGGTCCATCATGTTTTCAAATCATGTGCCTAAACACTTTTGGGGGGAAGCTGTACTTACTGCCACTTACCTCATAAACCGTATGCCTAGTAGTGTCTTAAAGTTCAAGACACCACGATCTTTGTTACTACAAGCATTCCCTCACCTCTCAGTTTTTTCCTCGGAATTGCCACTCAAAATTTTTAGTTGTACTGCTTTTGTCCATATCTATGATCACAAAAGAACAAAACTTGACCCCAAATCACACAGATGCATCTTCATTGGGTATTCTAATACTCAAAACTGGTACAAATGTTACTCTCCAGTCACAAAAAGAGTTTATCATACTTTGGATGTCACTTTTTTTGAACACCAATCATTCTTTCCCAAATCTGATATTCAGGGGGAGCATTTGAGCGAATATCAACTTTGGGAAACACTTTAAGATAATCAGGCTACCTTTCCCTCACCTAATGTCCTACCATACCAGCATCAACCTATTCCAACTCAACCTGATTTATCACCTACATCATCCAGTTCTCTATTACCTCTTTCATCAGATGTGACTCCAGAAAACATGGTCAATCACCCGCCATCCTCTCTTCCTACAATCAACCCATCTTCGCCTCTAATAAACAACCATCCATCCTCAGAAAACACTCTACCAAATTCACCTTCTCAAGCACCAGAACTCCGTGTTTATAGAAGCAGAAAACTTCAAAATATAGAGGCTAACATGCAAAGCCAGGATTGTTCAAACACACATTCGAGCTTACTTGACCTTGAAAATCATGAAGGTAAGGACTCTATGACCCATGAGTTGGTATCTACTGCTATTGCTCAACGAAAGGGTGTTAGAATATGCACTAGTCACCCAATAGAAAGGTATGTTGCTTATGGGAAATTAACTCCTATGTATCGAGCCTTTGTTGCCTCTCTTGATCTTGTCCAGATTCCCACAAACATCTACGAGGCACTAAGAGATCCCAAATGGAAGGTTGCTGTCAATGAGGAAATAAATGCTCTTGAGAAGAATGGTACATGGCGTCTTGTTGAGTTACCTCAAGGAAAACATGCAGTTGGATGTAAGTGGATTTTCACTGTCAAGTATAATTCAGATGGGAGTATCAACAGATTCAAGGCTTGGTTGGTTGCCAAGGGGTTCACTCAATCATATGGTGTTGACTATCAAGAGACCTTTGCTCCTGTTGCCAAACTCAATACAGTAAGAGTTCTGTTATCACTTGCTGTGAATTGTGATGGGCCTTTATATCAGCTGGATGTAAAAAATGCATTCTTAAATGGAGAATTGGAAGGAGAAGTTTATATGGAAATTCCACCAGGTTTGAAAAAGAACTCCAATGGACGACTGGTATGCAAACTACAAAAATCTCTCTATGGCTTGAAACAATCACCTCGGGCATGGTTTGATAGGTTTGCAAAGTCAATTGTAAAATTTGGATACACTCAGTGTCAAGCTGATCATACCCTGTTTGTTAAAATCTCTTCAACAGGAAAGCTAGCAATTCTCATTGTCTATGTGGATGACATAATCCTAACTGGAGATGATTCAGGTGAGATTTCAAACCCCAAGAAGTTTCTTGCATCAGAATTTGAGATCAAAGATCTAGGATTCCTCAAATACTTTCTTGGGATGGAGGTAGCTCGATCTACGGAAGAGATTGTTATATCTCAACGAAAGTACATCCTAGATCTTCTAAACGAAACTGGAATGCTTGGAAGTAAGCCAGCAGATACTCCAATGGACCCTAACTTAAAAACAAATCGGAGTGGGGAACCAATTCCAGTAGGGATGGGGAGCTATCAAAGATTAGTGGGAAAACTAATTTATCTCTCCCACACCAGACCTGATATTGCTTTCTCTGTTAGTGTTGTAAGTCAACATATGCATAACCCTAATGAGGAGCATTTGGAAGCTGTTTATCATATTCTAAGGTATCTCAAAATGACACAAGGTATTGGTTTGCACTTCAGAAAACATGACAACCAAGACCTAGAAGTCTACACGGATTCTAGTTGGGCGGGAGAGTTGACTGATAGACGATCGATTAGTGGTTACTGTACCTATGTATGGGGAAATCTAGTCACTTGGCGCAGCAGAAAACAGTCAGTTGTCTCTCGAAGTAGTGCAGAATCAGAATACTGTGCACTGGCATTAGGTATATGTGAGGGCATGTGGATTAAAAGGTTGTTAAATGAGTTGAAAATTGAAGCTCCTACATCTTTCAAATTGTACAGTGATAGTCAAGCTGCCATCAGCATTGCTAAGAACCCGGTTCATCACTATAGAACAAAGCACGCTGAAATAGACAAACACTTCATTTATGAGAAGGTGAATTCGAGGATCATTGAACTCAACTACATTCCTACAAAGAAACAGATTGCCGACATCCTTACGAAGGCTCTACCTAGAAGGAGCTTTGAAGAATTCAATTCCAAGCTGGGCTTGTATAATATATACAACTCAGCTTGAGGGGGAGTGTGGAAATATTAGAATTGATATGTGAAAATATTTGATTGATATGCATATATTCTTAGGATCTGTAATTAGTGATATGATTTTATTCTTTCCTAGTTTAGTGATCCTTTTTATTTACTTTCCCTGATTATAGGATTCTCTTCCCTATAATCAATCTTCTTCTTTGTATAAATTAGGGCTTGTATTTTCCAATTGTAAAGGAGAACTATTCAGAATTTCTTACATAAACTAATTACAATCATTATTATATTACTAACAAGGCCCCCCTTTTGTTAAATGTCCCTCCGCCCCTATGAACAACCTGTAGTGAGTCTGATTCAATATGGATGTAAGTGTGGTTTTGATTCTTAGGCCAGCTTAACACCTCTCTAAGACCTATTGCTTTAACTTCAGATGGCATGTAGTTCCCGAGGAATGGAGTTGATCTTGCTTTCAGAAAGGCACTTGTATCATCTCTAATGATCCACCTAATTCTCATGCATCGTTGTTGGATCCATTGCTGCGTCCACATTGATTTTTATCCATCCCGTACATGGTTTTTCCCATTTTGTGATAAGTTGCTGCTGAGTAGGGGTGTTTGCAGCCTCTTTTTCATTAACAGAAGTCCATTCGGAGAAGTGTGTTTTGGCTTTGAAAACCGTGGAGGTGGGGGAAGTGGTTTGAGAGTTCCAGATCTTGTCATTTCTTGCTTGCCAAATATACCAACAAATAAGCATGAAAAGCCATTTAGAGTCGCTATTAAGAGCCTTCAAAATCATGAAGATGTGCATACTAGTTTCATCAACAAATTCACAAAGGGGATATATGGTATTGCAATTAACTCTGTGAATTTGAAGTAAATCAGCAGTTGGGAGGCAAGAGGCACAAACCTGCCACATGAATGAGCGAACCTTGGGAGGGGCTTTGACTTTCAAGATGATTGACCACTCTTTTTTCTCATCATGAAGTTCCATACCAGGTAGCAATTTGTAACAACTTTTGACAGTAAAGTTTCCACGATCTTCACCCATCCAAATCAGTTTGTCATCCCTATTAGATCTTGACAGGGGAGTGTTTAAAATTAAATCTGCATCACGCTGATTGAAAATATCCTTAATAATGTCCACATCCCAGCCTTGTTTCTGGTTAATCATAAGAGAAGAGACTTTGGCATCCAACATATAAAGATAGACAGCAATGGTGGTTCTAGGATTAGTGTTGTCCGGTAGCCAATTATCTAACCAGATGTTGATAGTATTCCCGTTCCCGACTCTCCAGCAGCTATGGCGAATGATGCACTCCTGAGAGCCAATGAGATTGCTCCAAATGAAAAAGGGGTTGCTACCTTTGTTAGCAGTTAGGAAGGTGCCAGTGGAATAGTATTTGGCCTTGAGCACTCTACTAACAAGGGATGATGTATTTTCCAAAAGCCTCCATGCTTGTTACAGAGCATGGCTCTATTAAAATGTTCCAGGTTTATGAAGCCCATACCTCCCCAGTCTTTAGGCTTACATAGCTTATCCCAAGCCTTCCATCTGATGCCTTTTATGCTTTCGTATTCAGCTCCCCACCAGAAAGCGTTCATGGCCCTCTCAACTTCAGTAAGTAAGAAGGTTCTTAGGAAGTAGGAATACGCTCATTGCATGGGATGATATTGCTTGAACAACAGTCTTAATGAGGACCTTTTTGCCTGCCTTTGATAGGAATTTATGGTTCCAATTTTTTTTTCTGGATAGAAATTTTGACTTGATAAAACCCAAGATTTCATTCTTGTTACGCCCCACTAGAGACGATAAACCCAGGTAGTTGCCCATTATGCCCATATTGCCAACACCAATAATCTGCTCAAACACTTCTTTCAAGTCCTCATTGACATTTCTACTAAAGTTGATGGAAGATTTAGAGTAATTGATGACCTGACCTGAGGCTAGAATTTCCTTAATCACATGACTTTCCATAGGATTAGCTTTGAAGAAAAGGAAACTGTGAATAGCAGGTGGGTGATTTTTGGAGCATTTTTTGCTATATGAACCCCATGAATAAGGCCTTTAGTTTCACAATCTTGAAACATAACACTCAAACCATTTGCCACTAGAATGAAAAGATATGGAGAGAGGGGGTCGCCTTGTCTAATACCCCTTTGTGGTTGAACCGTACCAATAACTTTACCATCATTAAGGATCTGGAATTGGACTGTAGAGACACACTCCATGATTAAGTGAACCCGCCAGCTATTGAAGCCCATTTTGAGAAGAATTGCTTGAAGCATGGACCATTCAATTCTGTCAAAAGCTTTGCTCATATCAAGCTTTAGAGCAACATAACCGTCTTTTCCCTGGTATTTCCTTTTGAGATAATGTTGGACCTCGGATGCTAGCATAATGTTATATAAAATTAATCTTCCTGGAATGAATGCAATCTGGTTCTCAGCTATGATGTTATCCATTAGAGTTCTCATTCTATTTGCCAGGACTTTTGCTATGATCTTGTAGGTGACATTGCAAAGAGAGATTGGGCGAAGATTTGCGACAGTTTCAGGTGTTGTCTTTTTAGGAATGAGCACAAGCTGGGTAGTGTTTAGATCTTGGGGCAATCTGCCGGAGGATAGGAAGTCATTACAAAGAAGGACCATATCATTTCCGAGAATGTCCCAAAATGCTTGGTGGAAACCCAGGTTGAAACCGTCCGGTCCAAGGGATTTGTCGGGATGCATACTGAACACTGCTGTTTTAACTTCTTTAGGGCTGATTGTTGCGCATAAGAAACCATTCTGATCTGATGTGATACTGGGTTGAAGGCAATTTAGAACCGGATTTAAGTCACCTGGAACATATTTGAAAAGAACTTCAAAGTAATCAATAATGATGGTGTTGGTTTTATGACATTTGGGCAGTCAACGGCAGGTCAACACTACCGTTAGAATAACGATAATATAGGAGAAATATATGGCGAAAATATAGGAATGTTGTATTGAAGAGTATTGCTCGTGAATTGCTGAAAAGTTGTCCCTCTCTTCTATGTGAGGAGTCTATTTATACATATTTTGGGCCTAGAACCCCACAAGAAATAAGAATTCTAGACTGCCTCATATTGGGAGTCTTAGTTACATTGGGAATAACGAGACCTAATTCTATTATACAAGAAATAATGAGTCCAATTCTGAATATATTGAGAATAATAAGTCCAATCCTTGGCGAACTCTTGAGTTGTTCCGTATTAGGTATCCTTCCTAGGCTTCCTTGATCCAGTTACTTTCTTGGGCCGGTCTAGGTGGCCCAGGCCTAGTATATCATCCATTATCCAGTCCCCCACTTTCTTGAGATTTCGTGAAATCGATGTCTCAGGAAAGTATCTCAAAGTATTCATTGATCCGCTAATTAGTAATAGTAATAATAGTAATAGTAATAATAGTAATAACAATAACAATAATAACAATAATAATAATAATAATAATAATAATAATAATAAACGAGAGCTCAAACCAGCGATTTTTCCTTCCTTCCGATTTTTTTTTTTTTTTTTTAACTTACCTACACTGGTGCACCGTGCACACATATATATTGTTATATGCCTCCAGTAAGGAAAAATCAAGATGAGTACATAAAAGTCAAACATCATACCAGTCCATCTTTCCAGCTATGCCTTGCTTTGTCAGGCGTGGGAACTCACAAACCAAACATTGTGAAAACAAAAGCCTAAGGGGTCGTTTACTTCATTTCTCTGTTTTTCTATTTCCAGTTTTTTATTTCTCTATTTCTCCAGTTTTCTTTTTCCATTTCTCCAGTCTTCCATTTCTCCATTCTTCCAATTTTTCATTTCTCAGATTTTCTATTTTGTTAAATACAATCATTCTATATAGAATTTGTACATTTCTACAACAAAGATAATAATAATAATAATAATAATAATAATAATAATAAACTTGTGTGCATAAAGAGGAGGAAAAATGAAAATAGAAATAAAAAGATAATAATAATAATAATAATAATAATAATAATAATAATAATAATAATAACAAACATTTTGTGTGCATAAAGAGGAGGAAAAATGAAAATAGAAAATAATAATAATAATAATAATAATAATTATATAATAATAATAATAATAATAATAATAATAATAATAATAATAATAATAATAAGTTTCGAAAACAAAGGAAAAAGAAGGAAAGGAATTCTTAAACGAAAACAAAGGAAAAATAAGGAAAGGAAAGGAACAAACAAAACCACTCCACAATGCTTGTAACAGGAATCGAACACCCACCCTCCCAATCATAAGCACTATTCACGCGCATCTTCTCCCATTTCTCCATTTGGAGAAGTCCAAATTGGATCTCTCCAAAATTATACATAGACTTGGAAAATGGAGAACAGTTGGACAATTGGAAGGATGATTTTAGTAAACAAGTTTTCCATTTTCCATTTTTCCACTTCTCAATTTCTCCAATTTTTTGGAAAATCCTCCATTTTTCCAAGTTAGTAAACGACCCCTAAGTAATTCCCCCAATAAAGCTTGTCTGTATCTCTCAATGAGTCAAAGCAAAACACCTCTCAAACCTTTTTATGCCATATCCGAAACAATAAACAACATACCTTCTCTATATCCATCTCCCTTCCTCTTCTGACGGTGACACGCGACACTGGCTTCAAGATATTGGCGACAGCGGAGACTTCCGCTGGGTCTCACTTCCTCAAAAGAAGTTTTGTGCGCTACGTGTGTCTTTGCTTTGTTTCCAAGATACAAACCTCACATTCAGAAGTATTTAGACTGCTCTTATTTCCCATGTTCAGATGTTTTAATTTTGTTTGCAGTCCATATGCAGCCACATTTGGATCTCACTTCATTCATTTTTTTTTATATATGGAGAAAGGACCGGTCGTCGATGCGGACGACCGGTCGGCGCCTCCTTCTGGTCGGTCGGTCGGTCGCTGAGACCGATCAGGCCTTGCCTGCGGTTGGCCAGCTTGGCTAACCGTAGCAACGTCGGTCAGTCGCTGCGACCGACCGATCTTCGTTTGCGACTGACCAGTTTGGTCAGCCGTAACAATGCCGGTCGGTCGCAGCGACCGACCAGTCTCTGTTTTGCGGCTGGCCAGTTGGCCAGGTGCAACACTGGCGTTAATTTTTTTGTTTTTTTTTTGGTTTTCTATTTTATTATTATTTTTTAATGTTATTTTAATTTATTTTGTAACCAATAATATGTAGGGACGTGCGTGCTTTGGTGCTTCCAAGCCCCAAGTTTGAACTTTTTTTTTTTTTTTTCTTTTTACTTTGGCGGTCGACCGTTGCTTGCAACTTATCTGACCGGGGGAATCGGTTGGCCGTCTAGACTAATCGGTCGGTCAGCTTTATTGGCTGTCCACCGACACTAAGTGAGTAGTTCGCTCATCGGCAGACAATTGGTGACCGGACACCTGACCGGTTGGTCATTCCTTTGACTGTTTTTTATTTTATCACTGACCAACCGGCGCTTTACGACTAGTGCCGGTGGTCAGTTGGTCATCAATCGATGGGAGTTGTTGACCGTCAACCCCTTGGGATGCTCTTTTTTTTTTTTTTTCTTTTTTTTTTTTTGGTTTTGGGGGAGAGGGTGATTATCTTGCTTTTTTCTTTTAAGCATTTATCAATTAGTCCTATTTCAGACTGTTTATTTATTTGTTACCTCTTCTAGGTCAAAACTATGCCTAGGGTATTTTATTCTTCACTTGGTTCGCAACCTACTCCAGTACTCTTGACCCTTCTTTCTCCAGGTTCTGGACCGTCTCAGGGCTTGAGTAAGCGGTGAGAGATTCCTTTGAACCATGTTTATCTAGGTTCGATCGTCGATCTTCAGATGCTGGCTGATCTTTCTAATGCTGATGTGTCTTCTGAGCAGCCGGATAGTGTAGGTCCAAGAGCTGATGATTTTCGTTGCCAGGATGAGTCGAGCAAAGGGATGCTATTGCCTGCCTTCCAGATGACATGTAACACCTTTTTTTTTTGTATATTTTATTATATATATATATATATATTTGGACCCTTTGGGTCTTGTAATGGCAATTTCTAGTCTGCTCATTCTTCTTTTTCTATACGTTGTACCGCTCTCAAATTTGTGATTCCGTACTCTATTTTAGTTATCTCGTATTCTTCTCCGCAAAAGATTTTTTAGAATGTCTCTCGCTCTCAGCCAGTACGCTCAACCACCAAATACTTTTGTGAATGTCGCCCGTTCACAGTAGTATGCTCATCCGCCAAAGATTTTTGAGAACATCTTTCGTTCTCAGCCTGTACGCCCAACCGCAAAAGATTTTTGTGAACATCGCCCGTTCACAGCTAGTACACCCAACCACTTGAGATTTTTGTGAACATCGCTCGTTCGCAGTAGTATACCCATCTGCCAAATGTTTTTGTGAACGTCGCTCGTTCACAATAGTATGCCCAACCGCCAAAGGTTTTTGTCGCCCGTTCGCAGTAGTATGCCTATCCACCAAAGATTTTTTTGAACGTCGCCCATTCTCAGCTAGTATGCCCATCCACCAAAGATTTTTGTGAACGTCTCCCGTTCTCAGCCAGTACGCCCAATTGTCGAATAATTTTTTTTTTTTTTTAAAACGTCGCTCGTTCTCTGTTAGTATGCCACTTCACCAATGGCTTTTGAGAACGTCGCTCGTTCTCTGCCAGTATTCCCATCCGCCAAATATTTCTGAGAACGTCGCCCGTTCTTAGCCAGTATGCTCATCCGCCAAATATTTCTGAGAACGTCTCCCGTTCTCAGCCAGTATACTCATCCGTCAAATATTTCTGAGAACGTCTCCCATTCTCAGCCAGTATGCTCATCCATCAAATATTATTGAGAACGTCTCCCGTTCTTAGCCAGGATGCTCATCCGCCAAATATGTTTGAGAACGTCGCCCGTTCTTAGCAATATGCTCATCTGCCAAATATGTTTGAGAACGTCCCCCGTTCTTAGCCAATATGCTTATCCGCCAAATATTTCTAAGAACGTCTCCCGTTCTCAGCCAGTATGTTCATCCACCAAATATTATTGAGAACGTCTCCCGTTCTTAGCCAGGATGCTCATCCGCCAAATATGTTTGAGAACGTCGCCCGTTCTTAGCCAATATGCTCACCCGCCAAATATGTTTGAGAACGTCTCCCGTTCTTAGCCAGTATGCTCATCCGCCAAGTATTTTTTAAAACGTCTCCCATTCTCAGATTATGATATCCCATACTCCATCTGACCACTTCCTGACGACCATGCTTTATACCCTGCTGTCTCCTAGACTCTGCCCTAGACTTTATACCGACTAGACTTATCTCCTATAACCCCTAGACTCTACACTAAACCCTTCACCCGTAACACCCCGTTATCTTTTAGATTCCCCGTTATATGATATTTCCAGGTTCTTTACTCCGGCAGTTATATGCATTTGTTTCACTATGATCTGATTACTACTCTATGCGTGATGACCACTGAGGGGTGGGAAGTCTATCGACTACCGAGTCGTGGGAAGACGAGTCGACCATTGAGTAGTAGGAAGATCCATCGACCACCGAGTGATGGGAAGGTGAGTTGACCATCGAGAGGTGGGAAAGTCCGTCGACCACCGAGAGGTGGGAAGAGGAGTCGACCACTAGGAGGTGGGAAGGTCCGTCGACTACTTAGTGGTGGGAAGGCGAGTCAACCATTGAGAGGTGGGGAGGTCCATCGACCACTGAGTGGTGGGAAGAGGAGTCGACCACTAGGAAGTGGGAAGGTCCGTTGACTACTTAGTGGTGGGAAGGCGAGTCGACCATTGAGAGGTGGGGAGGTCCATCGACCACCGAGTTGTGGGAATGCGAGTTGACCATCGAGAGGTGGGAAGGCTCGTCGACCATTGAGAGGTAGGAAGGTCTGTTGACCACTAGTGTTGGGATGACCAGTCGACTACTGAGTGGTGGGATGACCAGTCAGGAGGACTAGTCTGGATGACCAGTTAAGGTGACCAGTCGAGCCGCGTAGTTTGTCCAAACTAACTGCCAGAATTTAGAGGGAATTTGAGGCGGTTTGTTGATGTTGCAAGTAGGTTGTCTCTATTAGTTTGATCATTTACTCTAGATGATTTTTATGTATATTTGAGGTCATTGTCGTGTGACGCTCCCTATTGTGTTTTTGTGGTGCCTGTCCTAGAGAGTGGCAGGACTACCAGGGTGCGAGTGACAAGCAATCTTTCCTCCTTGTCGTGGATTTTGAATGCATTTACTTCATGTAAATGGTGGGCGCGGGAATCTTTTCAGATCGAACTGATGACTTTATTAAAATTCTATAATATGATAGTCTATGGTACATAGTAACTAACCATGCGAGATTATTTTCCCAACCACTGATAGTGTTTCTTGAGCCACCTTGAATTCCGAATGTGTCTTCTTGGTTTGAATTTGAAATTCTTGCTTTCCTAGTGAATTTTGGGCTTGTGTTTCCAATTTCGGTCTTCCTGTTCCTCACAGTCGTCGTCTTGCCAACTGAGACTTTCCGGTGAGGGTTCTATTTTTTGTTCTGTAGGGGTAGTGTCCCCTGCTAGTTGCGTGGGTAGTAGTGGCCATTGGTTGGGGCGAATGACTGGTCTCCCTCTATGGATGGGATCCTCAGCTGGTTGCGTGGGTTGCCGTGACCACTAGTTGGGGCGAGTGGCCTGTCTTTCTCTATGGACAGGATCTTTGGCTGGTTCCGTCGGTTGTCGTGACCACTGGTTGTGGCGAGTGGCCTGTCTTTCTGTATGGACGGGATCCTCGGCTAGTTCCGTCGGTTTTCGTGACCACTGGTTGTGGCGACTGGCCTGTCTTTCTGTATGGACGGGATCCTCGGCTGGTTCCGTCAGTTGTCGTGACCACTGGTTGGGGCGAGTGGCATGTCTTCCTCTATGGATGAGGTTTCCGATCTCTTTTTGTAGAGTGGTGCATTCTTCGGTGGTGTGACCTGATTTCTGGTGGTAGCGACAATATTTAGGTCTTCTAGCGGCAGGTTTCATATACAACGACCGGTTGATTGGTTGTGAGAGGGGTGGTAGTGGTCGGTTCGTGGCCGATGTATGGCGAGGTAATTTTGCATTGTACGCTGGTCGGGACCCTAGTTCGACGACCGCTCTATAACAGAGGTTGATGGGTTCCTTGTGGACACTTGATTTATTTTTCTTTTCTTACGGTCGATCACCCAAATGTGTTCTTATATCTTCGTAAGGTCGTTCTTCTTTCCTCTTCCTTTTCTGTTACAAGGCTTCCTCTACATCTGCGTATTTATGGGCCCACAGGATGGCTTGGGCATAGGTCTCAGGGTTTTTTCTTCGCAGGCTAGTG